ATACCGGCACCAACGCAAACACTTTATAGAGTTACGACTGCAAACTTGAAGAAAACATGATGAGATGGCTGAATAGATGCATGAATCGCCCGTCCTATGGCATAAATGGGGAAAACATGTGGAAGTCCGATGATAGAAGTATGAGCAAAATTGACGCTGCGGACCTGGTGAGATGATTGATCTCGGGTAGATATTCGTTGAGAATGACACTGATTATTCTCAGAGCACTACCGAGTGGTTTAGTGAACTAGCAATCAATGGTGTTGGCGAGGAGAACGAGCTCACTTCCGAGGTTTTCAATCGAGGTGTCAAACACTACACTCAGGTAGCCCTGTAACTGAACAGTGAAGCTGGCCTGCTAGAATTCACCTAGTTCTAGATGGTTTGGCAAAAGACCAGAAAACTCGGATGTGCCGTGAAAGTATGCGATAAATTCTTGCTAGTGGGCTGCCAGTATCATAAACGGTGTGTTTTTATAATTCGATTTTTTTCATTTTTTTTTTTGCAGTTCTTCGCGTTTCTTCACTTCTTTCAAAGAATTGAGTTTTTCAGAGGAAACGTCATTGGAGAGAAAATTTACAAGACGGGAGAACCATGTTCGAAATGTACATGCCCGAAATGCACATGTGATAATGAAAGTGGTCTTTGCATTGTCCGTGAATAGAGGACAATAAATTTTCTCTGATGGATAATTACCCTTTGGATCGGATTTTACGCAGCATGAAAACCATTAATTTAAGTGCTGCTACCTCATGTTTGTATCACGGTAATCCTTGATATGAGCATTCCGCCTCGCAGTTTACTCATGGGGCCCGAGAATGGGTGACACGTACATTGTCCACTGTCAAGCACCTACTCAAAATTGAATTTCGCTGAAGGCTTTTGCTGAGTCGGTGTTTTATTTGTGTGCTTGTGTGTATGTGTGTGTTGATGTGCGCTTGACAGAAAACTCACATGGCTCTTAATCCTTGAGGCATTCCAATTAAAAAAGAAAACAAGTGTAGTTTGAGAATTTCTGTAGTAGTTTTAGAAATCACAGCAGGTCATAGGGGCTGATAAGGTAAGGGCTGCTGGAACACCTACGCCTTCCAAGATGGAGACAGGCACTTGTTCGCGTAATTCGGAATGTGAAGTCGACTTAGATGGTTGAAGCCAATAAGGGTGGATAATAAGAGTAGAAGTAAGAGAACACTAGTTGTGACTTCGCTACACCCTTGCTGCCAACAGTGGAACCTTGACCGTTGGACTGGTAACGTGGAACGTGACATAACGAAAGGGCGTCTCACAATGCAGCAGCTCACTAGACTGAAGTCAAATGTAATCGCGCTGAATCGCCTACTTGCTATTGAAGTGATGGGCTTTTGTTATATGTACGTCTCTCTTTATTGAGCTGCGGTAGAACAGAGAGATAGAGGCGGACGGTCACACCTTCTATCGGATGTTATAGTAGGGTAGCAGAATAGCAAACGATTCTATAGGGTAGTTTCTTGATTGAACGACGCGCTCTGAAAACGCAGCATTGCCATACGCGTTGACAGTACTAGACGCTTAGCGGGTGTCTGCTGACAACGTCAGCCGCGCGCCCAGCGTTGTCAACAATCGGCACTATCAAGGTTATGACAACTCTTCGCTTTCAACCATGTCCTTGGACTCTGAAAGAGCCCATACGATTACCGAATCATTTATCAGAACGAGGAGTTACTTGACCTTATCATAGAGGCTATGATAATCCATTGCACAACTTGGAGAGGATCATTTGAAACCTCTCAGAGAGATCAGTCAGTGGTTCGCTTGACTGAGAGTAGAGGAACGAAGCGCAGGGTAATCTGCGTTACTCTTTCGAGCTTTTTACGCTGTTATCCTGCCAGGCCACTATACTTTCTCGCTCGATGTCGACAGGAAAAGCCATTTGCATGCGAGCCAAACGAATATTTTGCAGTTCAAGTTGGTTTGGAGGAGAAGAAAAGCGCAATGGACGGCTTGTTGGTGTTATGTTAGAGTTTATGATCCGCTCTAATGACATTTATGATCCGCTCTAATGACAATGTGCCACGATCTTGTTGGCTTCTGCAGGTTATTCCTTTGTCTGGTTGTCATGGTGTGCCTGCTGAACGAAGAAATAGGAGATGAATTCAGCACTGGTTCAGTATCTAGACTTGGGTTTGGATGACGATGCGTCTGAGTACTTGTCTTTCGGTCCGCCCACTCGGCAACCTTCATTTATAGAAGGGTTTAACAATCACTAGGCTAATGGGAAAACTGCTCCGACGCGTACGCGTAGCTTTTAAATAAAGCCTGAACTATCAAAGTCGATAGGTATAACCTTATCGGTTGTGATTTACACGAATGTTTTCCACCTGAAAATCCTGAGCAATGGATTGCGAGAAGAAGATTAACCTCTCACTACAAACCTCGCTCAAACGTACAAGAAAATCTCCATTTTTTAGTAGAAGTGGAGGTATATCTTCCCTTGGAAGGTAGCCATGATAGAAGTCTGCTGATTGCAGCCAGAAGTCAGCAGGATGTGTCTGTAAACAAGGGTAGGAGCACTGGAAGTACCCAAGGGTATATCATATGAACTTACAAATGAGTCACCAGCTGAGTGTATACTTCGAATACTGGTGGTGGTTGGAGTCGGTTCGGAAAGGTGGCCTTTGCCAATAGTCGACTCCAACGAATCTGATTCTCCTGGCATGACGGGTTGCTAGAACAAAATGAGACATGCTAAAGGATTCCTTGGTGATATGTGGTTGTTGCTCGTAAACAATAACAGATGATATCTTTTGATTGCCTTCGTTGAAGATACATTTCACGATAATCTTATTGTACCTACATAGTTCTGAACGAGTTATGGAAGTGAGAGTTTTAAGTAGTGCAAAGTAGCGAAGAAACGAGGAAGACGATGAATTAAGCGAAATTGAGGCCTCAAAAAAGTTGTTAAATCAGAGTTGGATGGCAATGCGTCGAAAAATTTGTTTTGAAGCGTATTTGGACGATCTGTTCGAATGTGCGCGGCATTGCATACAGTTGACTGCAGTAAGCTGTCTGCAAGATGTGGGTTCCAGTGCGAACGGTGCAACCTTTGAAGCTTTTACAACGTTAAGGAACTCGTCCGACTTGGACGTGTACGTTTTGAGGCCAGTTACGCCGGGTTGAGGCCAGTTTTGGGGTCCTCACAAAGCCATATTTTATTACCGAGGGTCAGCCTAAGGGACACTATTGTGCGAAAAACGTGTAATTTGGGATGAGAAGTCGAGTGACATCCTGGATGTTCGTTTCACAATCGCAGCACTTCATTAGACTGAAGTCAAATGTAATCGCACTGTACCGCTTTCTAGCTATTAATTGATCTGCTTTGATATCGCTCTCCTTATGGAGCTCGGGGACGGTCACATCTTTTATCGAATGTTAGAGAAGGGCAATACATCGAATAGCAAACGGTTCTATAGGGCAACTTCTGAGTTTAAGGTCGTGCATTGAAATAGACATTGCCTTGCATGCGTTGACGCCTTCAACTATGTCCTG